ATTTTCACCAGTTTTTGCTTTTCAAGTTCTCCTCCACAACCCCAGGATGGGAAGTAGTGGAAAGTAGTGGGTGAGATGTTTGCTTACTAACTTATCATCTGTTTCCCCAACTAGACTCCATGAGGGCAGGGACTTTGGCTTACACACTATTTTATCCACAGTATCTAGCACAGTGCCTGACCCATAGTAGCTGCTCAAATCATTGAATGAATGAGTGAATATCACTAAATTCTTTGACAATCTGGCTTGTTAGCAGATTAACCTGATTAAATGCATAAAATAGAAGTAAAACAAGACAATAGAAGTTATTGACAGTAACACTGATACACAATACTACTTTTAGAAACTTGAGAAGAAGCACTTTAGCAATAACTTTGATTTAAAAGAAAAAGAAGTTCAAGGATATATTCTATTTTAAGGTCCAAAATAATAATCATTTATGAGATTAGATTGTCCTACAATCCCTCAAATAAAATAATATCCTGTCCATCAAAGTAAGAAGAACTTTGCAGAAAATAAACCTTGAGCAAAACTTCAAAATGTAGACAACTTTGGAAATATTTTCAACTTCTAGTGCTAACTATAGTTATTGGCCACTGGGAACCTGGCATAGGAACTTCATCGATAGTCGTATTTACACATACCAGTGCCAATAAGATCATACACACTGAACCAAGAGCAGGAGAGGAAACTAGTTTCATCTAGTTTTTCAGGAAACTAGAGTTAACCATGTATATTATTTATCACTTCATTTTCTCCCCTGGAGAATATTCTTCCACAAGATCTTTATGTAAAAGCAGCATAATTTTCTTAAAAATTGTAAGGCTATGTGAAATGATTGATTTCTACTAAAAATCTGGGGAGAAACAAATCCATTTTAGGATGTCTGTAGGTGAAATAATAGTAATGAAAAATATAATGTGTGAGCATATATATTTTATTTATATGTTATTGAAAATGTTCAACAGCAGGATAATTGGCCATAGAGTATGATTTATGTTAAATAATCCAAAAAGTCCGTTCACTATGATTTAATGTTCTACATCAGGCACAAACGCAGCAATCATGAGAGGAGCCACAGAGTATGGAGTAAAGCATATGGGCTTTGAAATAAAAGCTTTGAATTCAAATCTTTGCCCTCGTGTTACTAGTGATGTAATTAACTTCTCTGAACTTCATTGTCTTCATTTGTTAAACAGGAATTATTGAGAGAGCTCAGAGGAGTCATCTGCAGTACAGGAGGCTAACTAGGGTTAACTACTAGAAATAACAAGAGTTGATCTAGTAAAGGAGAGGAGATCAACCAGAGCACAGGGAGAGCTAAAGACAAAACAAGGAGAGAAAGAGGCAGAACTAATATGATTTTCATTCTTTAACCCCAAGAGTGGGAAATCTCAGGAGCAAAGTGGAACTCTGGCCGGGTAGAAATAAAGGTCTTGGTCAGAAGTATGTGATTATACTCTACATCAGTTTGCCCTGGCAATAGGATCCTTGCTTTAACATAATAACCATTACAGAGAAAACAATTCCCTGTAATTGAATTAATGTTGCCTTAAGAATTATCTGGAAGGGAATTTGAAAGGGGATTAGATTACAGACAAAAATTTGTATCAAAACAGACAATATGATTATGCAGGAAAGGGTTACCTTGTGCCTGAGTACTGGGAGAGCATCTGGTACTGATGACCTGCTGGTTTTTGGAGCTAATTTTGATGAGAGTCAGTAGTATGTAATAAATCAGGTAGTTGCACATCCACACTTTGCCACCCAGTCTAATCAGACTGCTGCTTGGAAGGAAACCCCAGAAATCGGGATTTCAGAACTGGGAAATGGGAAGTTCCCATTCTCCTGGCACCTGCTTGTAGAAGTTTGGAACATCCAGGCCTCCTCAGGGGGCTCTCCCAGTCCTTACAACTGCCATGGAGGACGGGACCTGCCTGGAGGGAGAGAGAGCAGAATGGGTCCCCAGGGATAATAGTGCCAACCTCATAGGGTGTTATGAGAATTAACTGGGAAAACTTACTATAAAAGTACTTAGCACATTCGTGCATAACAAGTGTTGGTTTCCTTATCACCTCTTTTAGCATTTGCAATGGGTTACACATTTACTTTCCCTTGAAATATTAAAGTGTTTTCATGTCTTTTAAACCTTAGCCTACCCATCCAGGCAATGTTAGGTATATGTGTTTACATGTTACCAAAACCAGAGGAATCAACATATTTACCTTACAAACCAGTTTCAAGTTTAAACTACTTGCCCAAAACCTGATCTATAATTTGGGGGACCTAAGAGTTTTCAAATGGAAGCATTAAAAATATCACTGAGATTTTTAGAGTAAAGAAAACAAAAAGCACTCTAATAATTGACTTTCTCACCTCTCTCTGCCACTAGATAGTGAGAATGTGTTTTGCTAAGCTGTGTGTACCAAGTTCGGGGTTCCTCAGAACTTCTGTTGCTGTTGTTGGTGAATGAAGGAATAAAGAGGAAAAAAAGCCGATTGAGAAACTATTTCTACGTTGGGGATTTCAGATGTAGGGCTCCAGAGACCTTTACTTTTAGAAACCATTCTTCCCATTTCAGTTCCAAATATTAAGCAAACCTACGTACTCATGGAATCTCACTGAAACCTACAGTGTTTTTTTCAAGGGAAACTAGCAAGATTAAAGAGATTATGAGAAAGAGACTAGAGCGTTGTGATGAAATCAGTGTACCATGTTTATTGGATCATTCTAAATGCCTGTGATCTTTAACATAAAGGATTGCCTTTTATTTTAGCAACCGAAAATGCCATTAACTTTGCAAGCATTTAACTGTTTCTGGTCTCAGGATTTCATAATAGAATTTACTTTTCATTAAGAAATAAAATTTTAGATTATTTCAGGCTATGTTTTCTGCAAAACCTGTTTTAGTTCCTCACTAAACATCATGAAAAGGGGCAAAGCTGAATCTTGTGGACTGAACAGCTAAGGATTTATGGGGCTAAATGGTCACTGTCCCTAATAATCTATAATTTTTCACACAGAGAGATACAAAATCACCAGGAAGAAAGGTGGATTGTTATTTTCCTGAATTAGAAGTCTTAGTAGCAAGTGACAGAAACACATATCAAACTGGTATCAGAAGAGAGGGAAAGAAACAGAAAGAGAGAGAGAGAACATCAAAAGGAATTGATTGACTTAATTATCTGAGTAGCACAGTAGTAACTCTCACTTCAGGCCCGGCTGGGTCCAAGGTTTGAGATGATGATATTAGGATTCAGCTTTCCTCCATTTCTTTATTCAGATTTTCTCTGTATTTGCTTAACTCTCAGACAGGCTCTTTCTATGTTGTGGCGCTTAAAAGCTCCACAGAGACTTACATCTTCCCAGCTTCAAATTAAGCAAAGAAACAGAAAGAGAGAGAGAGAGGAAGGGAGGGAGGGAAGGAAGTCCCAAAACTGAGTTTCATTGGTATAGCTGGAGTAATGTGACCAATGACATCCAGGAAGTGGAAGCCTCTTTTTGGCCAGTTCTAGGTCATATCACATATCACCTCAGAAGTCAGAAGGTACAGGAGAAGAGGTGAAGTGCTACCCAAACCTGAGGTTATTTGTTTACAGTTACTGTAACTGTGTGTTTCTTCAAAGTCCAGGCCTGGCCTCTCCGCCATTCATGTTTAAATTCCGCTTTTGAGTAAATCATTCCTAAGTAGTCAGTCAGCTTGGATTGTTATGCCAGTGATACACACCTAGCTTTATCTCTTTCTCAAGCTTATCACAACTTGGCTTGCTATATATTAAAATTTGGCTCTGCAGGGAACACCATAATAAGTTGGGTTGTTGTAGGAAAGGAAAATATGTGGTGGCGATAACATCATTGGGAAGATATGTTTTAGTTTGCTTTGAGAGATGAGTCTGATTCCTCCATGCATGGGGCTTAATTAGATTTTAAAGATTGCTATTGCTAAAGCACAGCTGTAGAAAACTTTGGGACGTAGTATAGGTTTGTCTTTCTGTTATTAACGGATAAAGGAAATAAAATATTAATCTCTTTAGTGAATTTGTCTGTTTATGAACATGGTTCATGACACAGATGGAAGAGTCAGTAAAGCCATGCTGCCTCCAGAAGCTTCTCAAGGAAGGACATTAGCACCACGTAGCATGGCAATGAGAAGAATGCTGATTTGGAATGATAGAACTGGATCTGTGTCTTCGTCCTACACCTACTATTTGTAGAACGCTGGACAGTTTACTTAACCCTCCTGTAAGCCTCCATTTCTTTACCTACAAAGTGGGAATAACAACGTATGTCCTACTTAACTGTCTTGGTCCATTCGTGCTGCTACAACAAAATGCCACAGACTAGATGGCTTAAAAACAACAGAAATTTATTTCTTAGAATTCTGGAGGCTGGCTGTCTGAGATCGTAGCACCTGCATGTGAGGGCCCTCCTCCATCTCACAGCCTTCTGATTGTATTCCTACATGGAGGAAGGAGCTAAGGAACTCTCTGGAGTCTCATTTCACAGGCACTCTTCCCATTCATGAGAGTTCCACCTTCATGGCCTAACCACCTCCCAAAGGCCTAACCTCTTAATACCATCATCTTTGGGGTTTAGGGTTTCCACACATGAATTTAGGAGGGACACGAACATTCAGACCATAGTCTAACTTATAGGGCTAGTTTGAGGTTCAAATGGAATAAACCTGTTCGTCCTCATTCTTTCCTACAAATGAAATGCCTCACAGGCTGTGTCTTGTTCAACTTTGTGAGTTTCAGTGCCTAGCCCTGTACCTGGAAGTCAAAGTGTGCTCAACAAATGTTTGTTGGATGAACAGATAAGTAAATGAACAAGGGAGCAAACAGATGAGTGAGTAAATGATAGCCAGAGCATAGACAGAATTATATTGTTCAGTACTGGCTCAGGGAAGTTCTGAGATTGAACAATATTTTAACAATATTTCAGAACTTAGAATCTCTGTATTTGACACTGCGTGTTTTTTTCTGTGCTGCCCTTAATAGAAAAGAAGCTGAAGATCAAGACTTGGAAAGAGTAGCACGTTTCTTAGTGAAGAAACAGCCAAGAAAATTACTGCTCTCCTAGCTCAATGAGAAGCATTAATTAAAGGTAAGACATGGGAAAGAAGTAAAATGGAGAACTTGTAAGAGTAAGTTGTGTCATAATTAACCTTCGTAATTCCTCTAAATTTTACAGCATGACTGTCTTGTTGCAGAGGCCCTTGAATTATTTAAAATATTTCTAAAGGAAGCCTTTGAAATCCCTAGAGATGACTTTTTACGTTTTTATAAAGATTCTTTCCACTTCCATTCAGATTCTCTGCACAAGTTCATATGATAAAACATAAACAATCTGTAGTCTTGGATAATGGGAATGGATTTATGTAAACCTGGGACTATCCTGCTTGTTTACAGTGACATCAATTGAGGAATCTCCACTACAGAAAAATATTCCATATGTGTGATTGTGGGGTCTCCAGAATTATGCACTCTGAATTTTTAATTTTATCTTTGTTTAATCATTCCCAGTGAGGTAAAACAGCTCTCTGATTAATGTTCTTAAATCATGGCAAACACTGATTCCAATATCTATACAAAATTGCGTATGTGCGTTTGAATGGAGGAATAAATATTGTGGGGGCAAGGGGTGATGCAGAAGGATTGTTAGACACATACTATAATATATTATACTCTTCTTCTTGTTTTTCCTGATTAAACACATTTGTGTTCTATTACTCATGGCTACAACTACATAGAAGGCATAATAGAAACATTCTCCCCTGTTCATGCAGCCACAAGTACAAGCATGAAACAAATTTCCACCAAGAACCTCTGCAGTGTGTGTTGGGGAAAAGAAATACATGGAACTAGGAAGAAGTCTCCAACTATGATCACATTTGGATTTTCTCAGAATACCTTGTAAGAGGGGGATGTTTCTCAGCTCTGTGCCAAAAACTCAGAACCTGGAGGTGGGGAGACTAGAGAGACTGAATCTTGGTCCCCCCACCCGCAGTAATATTCATTTCAGCTGTTTCAGCTTCCCAGCCTACAGTACAAGGAAGAAACCAAAGTTACCATGACAATTTCTAAACTGTTAGCAAAACCAATAGTCTACTACAGGGTGGGGGAGAATGAAGATCTTCATCGCCTCTTCCCATTCATGAGCGTAATCACTAAGCCTATCAGTTTGCTAGAGGAGACAATCAGTAATGAACTCATTACAGAAATAAACTTAGCAATCCAGTGGAAATGGGCAAAGAAGATGAGCTGAGAGTTCACGTGCACTCAAAAAGCAAATGGCTGTTAAACACATGAAAAGAAACTAGATCTCTCTAATAGAGAAGAAAGGACAAAATAAAATAAAAGTGCAGTGAGATATCATTTTCATGTGGCAGACTGAGCAAGACCCAAAAGTTTTGTGGTTCCTTGGATGGATGAGGGTGAACAGACTGTTGTTGATGGGGATGGAAATTGATAGAATATTTCGGAAGTCTATTTGGAAATATCTACCAAAATGTAAAGAGAATACAGCAAAATTCATAATGCACACACATGTCTAGGACTTTTCTTAAAGCTATAATCACCCTAATGTGCAAAACCATATGTACGAAGATTATTTATTACAGCACTGAATACTGTTTGTAATAACAAAATAATGCAGACAATCTTAACATCTGACAATAGTAAAATGCTCAAATAAACTAAATGCCTGTACAATAGAATATCATGCAGTCATTAAGGAGAGGGTGGTTCTGATATGGACTATTGTCAAGATATTTTGTTAAATTACATAAAATAGATACAGGAAAGTGTGCAGATTTTCTGCCACCCTCCCCCATTCACTGTCCTCCAGCCATCCTGGCCTTTCTGTTTCTCAAGTATGCCAAGCTCATTTCAGCCTCAAGGCCTTTGTACTTGCTCTTCCTTCTGTCTGGAATGTCTTCCCAATTTTCACATAGCTGGTGTCTGTTCATCTTTCAGGTCTTAGTGCAAATTCCTCCTCCTTAGACAGACCTTCTGACTACTAGCAGCCATATCTTACTGAAAGAATCAGCCTGTTTTGCTTGAAACTGTGTGATATTACTAATGCGTTTGTGAAGTAGAGTCCATAATAGCTAGAGTGCCCCACCTGTCACTTGTGTGATTTTCTTCACAGGACTTAGCACTACTTGGAAACATTTCATTTTAAAAATCATTTTACATGTTTATTACTAACCCTTCCATACACTCCAACTTATTAGGATTTAAGGCCCATAAGGACAGGAATTTTGTCCTGTTCATCCCTATGCCTCCAATATTTAGAGTGGCGCCAAATACAGAGTAAACTCTCAATAAAAGTTGAATAAATGAGTGAATAAAGGAGATACCCATATATGCAAAAAATATTTCTAGAAAGTACCCAAGGAAATCTTAGGCTGGTTCTTCAAGGGAAGGAACAGGAAGAAAACTCTTGTTCTGGTTTCAGTGTGCGAGAGAAACCAGGTGAGTGAGACACCGTGACTGACCTAGGTCTGCTCTATAGGCAAGGAGATGTTTCTTTGCCCTTGCGGGGCCATCAGGATAAGGCCTAATAGCCTTCAGTTCATAGTCATACAGGAATTGCATACCTGCTGTGAAAGCAGAGTTGTTATCTCACATTGAAAGTCAAGGAATATTTAGACGCCATTTCTCAGCTCCAAGCCCACCTTCTGTCCTGGTAGACTGGGATTACTCAAACTACATCCCCAAGACTCCCTTGCCTTATGGCTTTCTATTAGGTTCTATCAATGGAAATCACAAGACAAATACTCGAAGTAGTAAGCAGGGGAGGAGGAGCTTATTTCCTATTTTCTATTTCTTGTTGGCAATCTTCACTAATAGCCCACAGTTGGCTACAACTTCCACCTTTTTCCAGCACTCGCAGTTCCATTCTTACCAAGCTGCCTGGTAGCAGCCAAGCTGAGACCCTTGGCAGCCCTAGTAGGAGGTAAACTGCATTCCCTTACCAAATGTGCTGCTCCCTTGAGCCCTGGGAGACCCCACTAGGCCCTGCCCCTTCTCAGAGGGTTAGGCACCAACTGCATGGAGTCCCTTCCCAGAAGCCCAAGCACTAGTTCTGTAGGGGCTGTTCTCCCAGCTCATAGGTTCTGGTTAGAGGCCTCTTCCCCATGTTCTCCAGGCTTGGGAGTGGTAGCTGCTTCCTACTGTCATTAATCTCTGGGTGCCTCAGCATCCTCTTTTTGCTCTTTTAGCCTTCCAACTTATGCATAACCAATTCCCTGTAATTCGAACTATTATGGTTTCTATTTTCCTTCCTGGAACATCACCAATGCAGTGCTTGTTCTGGGCTTTCTTCTCTAGGTCTATGTTATTCCCCTGGGTGATCTTCATTTATCTTGATCCATTTATACCCCTTAAGACATATATCCAACTTCCTATTTGCTATTTACATCTTAAAGTCTAATAGACACCTCAAATTTATCTTGTCAAAAAATGAACTCATGTTGTACCAATCTATTCCTCTGCCAGAATTTCCCATCTCAGTAAATTCATTCATTTGTTTGATCCAAATCCTCTATCTATTCATTTGTTCAATCCAAAACCCTAGCAGTCATTCTTGCTTCCTATCCTTCCTTGGTTATTCATATTCAGTATATCAATATGTCATGTTGGTTTCATCTCCGAAACTAGACATCCGTCTCCTCCTTTCCATCTCTTACGTCATTCTGCAGTCTACGTCATCATTATCTATCACTTTGGCTATTACAGTTGTCTTCTAAGTGGTCTCCATCTTTCAACTCTAGCCTTTCTAGAGCTGTTTTTCTACCTCATAGCCATAATAATATTTAAAAATGTAAGTTACAATGAAAGTTAAATCCAAACTCTTTATCATAGCCCTGTGAGAGTCCTGCTGGCACTTCCAACCTCATCTGCTATCACAGTCTGTTTGCACTAACTGTGCTCTAGACTCAGAGGCCTCTTCTTTGTCTCATGCCACATCAAGCTCTATACAGACTGAAGTCCTTTAAATTCACTGCTTCTTCTACAAGGAATCTTCTTCTACTGGTTGTTCACATGGTCTTAGTTTTCATGTCATATCCTCAGGGAGGCGTTTCCTGACCACCAAATCTAAAGTAGCCTTCCTCCCCTAATTCCTCTCTATTACAGAGTCCAATTTACCTCCTTCATACTCTTATCTTGATTACTTGTCCTTTCCTTTGTTTCCTGTCTAAATACATGGGAGGGGCCTTGCTATTTAATATCACCTCCCTAGCACCTGAACACTCTCTATTCCCTAAAAAGTGCTCAGTAATATTTGCTGACTGAATGAATGAATGCTTTTAGTATGCTCTTGTTTAAAGTACTCCAACATTCAAGTCCTTATGCACTTTCAAATATATAAAATTTTCCACTACACTGGAAAATCTATAGAATTAGATTTTTCTCCCATCTACTCTCCTTTCCTATCACACTTCCTAGGAAATTTCTTGAGGAAAAGCAGCTTATAAGATCAAGACTTGATGACATAGCTAGCATTTTCTTTGGAAAAATAATACATAAATGTAAGTCAAAGATGCAGATACACCAGAATCTACGAGATTTTCACAACAGCGAGATTCATGGCCTTTAAAAATATGTAGAACAAGATGGAACAAATGTTTTCAGTAGATGTTCAGGTGCTCTTTTCTAAAAATAACATACGTAACCACAAATCAATGTTTAAAACCAGATGGTTAATGAAGGCCAGCCAGAAAACTCCTCTAATTCACAGTAATGAGTATGGTAATGAGCTCCCATTATAAACCAAACTGCAGCGTGACACACTGTATCTATTTCAAATAATAGTAATTTGATTGTTACATATTTTTCAAAGCTCCAAAGCTTAATTTATGGAGAAAAATGTTTAAAAGCCTGATTGATGGAGTTAATCATGCCCATTTAGTCAAATGAAAAGTGGCTTACATTTTATTAACAAGACCTGTTCAAATGTCAGATGTCATCAGAAGGAAAACAATATTCAAACCCAAATAAAAGTTAAGATCTTTCAAAACATGAAAGAAGTCCCATTACTATGGTTGAAAAGAATATTTTTCCCTCAACTCTTTGATGTCTTTACTTTTCAAATAGGACCCTAAGAAAGGCGTGTTCTATTGAACAAAATGCTTCAGGGACTCTGCCATGATGGAAAAATGCCAGGGATTGAATTTTATTTTAGTATCAAAAGCAAACATTTATTTTTACATGTAAAGTTCACCTTGATCTCGGAGAGGTAGTCTGAAAAGGCATTCCCAGTTACCCAAAGTGATATGGGCAGGAGCACATTGCATGTGGAAACCACTGAATGTGATTACATGGAGCCACTCTGCTTTTGGGAGACACGTCACACTGGGCCACCTTCTGTAAAAGGATAGAATACTTTAGGCTGAATATCAAGAAAGCAAGGACTTCCATACTCATCATCATTTTCATCTACTGTGAAGTTGGCTGCTCACACGTTGTATGTTTGGAGTACAAGCCATTAAAATTGATGTGTATGTTTGATGCTGCATATTTTTGTTATTTTTATTAAACTATTATTTGCTCTTAGGCACCACACTTTTCCCTAAAATGTGACGAGATTATAGATAGACATGGTTGGACGAATTCTGATCTTCTACAAGATTTCTGAATAGACCTCAGTTATATTTACTGAGGACCGGAGGTTTATTTTCTAAAGTGTGTAAGACAGAGGGGTCTCTGGTCTGGGAGCAAAAAGACAAAATTTAAGGTGTGAATACTATATTGAAAATTGGAGAATTAAGAAAATTTAGCCATTTTCTCCCACCCAGCTCCCCATATGCTGGTAGCCAGGCCTTCACCATGCAAGAAAGAAATTAAAGGTCTCTGGAAAATACTACCAAATCAAGAGGAAGTTCTAAAGATGCTGACATTAGAAATTTCTCAGGTAAATAGCCCAACCTGATCACCCTACAAAGAAATTCACAATCTATAAAGCCCACTAATGCACTCAAAGTGGCCACTGACATAAAGTGCTAGAAAATATGAAAAGACAACATATATCAAATATGAGAAGACTAATAATAAATATGCATATATAATTGTATATAAAATATGTGAAGACAACAATACTATAAAATATGAGAATACAACCAAGAGTTAACAGGCTTTGGAAACCAGCATATAACAGGAAAGACGGAGACCAAAACAAATAGATTTAAAGCAACTTGGAGTTAACAGAGACTTGCGGAAAGAAGAAAACCTAAATATACAAACAAAAGAGCATTAATATCTACAGAGAGATGAGAGATCATACAACCGAAAACAGGAACAGGATACATACTATAAAAAAGGAGCATTCAGATTACAAAGAGGAGCTTTGACAAATGAAAAATATTATAGTTAAAAATGAAAACTCAATAGAAGACTTTTGAGAGAAGATTCAAACAATTTTTGAAGAGTGAGAGGTTGAATAGTGATTAAACACAAAAAAAATGAAGTAAATGAAAACAGTTATGACTCCAGGGAGAAGAAAATGCTGTGCAGGAAAGAAATAGTGCTTGTAGTTTGCTACATGTCTCAGCTACAAATAGAATTCACATCATAGTAATGTATTAATATGCAATATTAATTTAACTAAAATTACCATATAACTCTGCTGGAGGAAAAGGGAATGAGAAGACTATGCATATGAGGAGAGGGAAGAAGAGGGGAAAAACCAGAGATACATAGTTTCATCTTCTAAGGTGAGAAGTCAGTTAACAATGCCAGAAACTGAAAAATCAAGTAGTAGCAACGAAGAGTACTACTTAGAGTCATGAAGCTAAATGATAACATAATCAGGTAAAACAGATGAAAATGGTTAATTCTGGGGAGCAAAAACAGTTGAGGAGTAGGGGAGCAATGCTATGTTTCATAGCAAAAACTGTAAACTATTGGATTCTTTAGAGGTTGTATATGATTAACTTTAATGAAAATGAAAACGGGCCGGCCCCGTGGCCGAGTGGTTAAGCTCGCGCGCTCTGCTGCAGGCGGCCCAGGGTTTCGTCGGCCACAACTAGAAGGACCCACAACTAAGAATATACAACTATGTACTGGGGGCCTTTGGGGAGAAAAAGGAAAAAAATAAAATCTTTAAAAAAAAAAAGAAAACAAAAAGGAAGGGAGGGTGAGGCAGTGAGTGATAGGCCTCAGTGAACAGTGTATACAGGGGAAAGAGAACTGGTTTGGTGATAGTTGGTAAATCTCCGTATGTCTCTGGACTGATGACGCTGGGAAGAGAGAAGGTCCATGACCACGTGGTGAGCAGAAACACATGACACAGTACGAGTTATCAAGGGGACTTAGGATCCTTGGCCTCCAAACATGTCTCGTTTGTTAATTCCTGGCTCTGCCTCTACATACATGAGAGACCTTGGGCAAGTCAGCTACTCTATGCATGCTCTGACAGCCCTGCTGTTTCTCATTCATTTTGTATTTTTAACAGCTTATAGCAGAGGGCTTTGTAGAGGGTAAGCACCCAGATGCTTATTTATAGATTATTTGGATTGCTATTTTCTTTGGGAAAAGTTTCCCTATATTTAAATAAATATGTAAATTTGTAGAATCTTTGCAGAATAGCCCAAACCTGGCCAAAACATTGTAGACTAACCTGTTTGGAAACTGACAAGACATGGTGATAGTCCAAAGTAATGGTCACATGGAGCTTTTTACATAATAACCCAAACATGGCCAAAACATTTTTGAACGTTTGTAATCACCTTCAACATGCTATAGTCACCTTCAAAAGCCAAACCATTTAAAAAAAATTTGTGACTATTGTTTGAATTACAAATAATACATGCTTTTTACTGAAAACTTTGAAAAATACAGAAACACATACAAAATTACTGTTAATCCCACCACTCAGAAACAATCAAAAAAGAGTTTGGGTATATACTCCAGGACTTTTTCGTTTACCTAAATATGTGTGTATACTTTTTACAAATTTGGAAATATACTGCACATTTTATAACCTGATTTTTTCAATTAATATGTTATAAGTATTTCCCCTTATCATTAAATATTATTGTCACTATCATTTTAATGGCTTCATAGTGTTTGACAGAACTACAATAATATATTGCCAGCTTTATCTATGTTTTCCATGGTTTGTTTTTATATGTAATACTGTAATGAATAATCTTGTACAAAATTGTTGTACTCATCTATTTATTTTAATGAAGATAGACTTTCAATTCCTAGAAGTTGTTTTAATTCCTAAAGGCAGAATTTCTGGAAAAAAGAGGATGTATTTTTTTTTAAACTCTTGTTACTCTTAGTAACTCTTATTAAATTTCTCACCAGTTGACTCTTTCAGCAGCAGTCCACATTTCCTACTTTTGAATATTCTCAAAACTGACAAAACTTGATTTTTGGAAACAGTTAAGTTCCTCACTAGAAATCCTATTTCCACCCATAGAGTATAAACTCTTTGAGCCTGAAGACTACTTCCTAAAAATTTATCTTTTGTTTTCCTCAAAACATCAAGAAAAAGTAAGTTTGTATTAATAGCCGGTCAATAAGGTCAGTGATCAAACTGGGTGATGCTGCTTGAGTCAAAATAATATAACCATAAAGTAATAACACTGATTGTGTACGCTGCCAGCAGGCTTTGAAGCGCAGCTGCACCCTCACTCATGAGCACAGAGAACAGCTCTCACAGAAGACAAACGGAAGGTATGTAGAATTTTCGTGTTTCCTCTGGTAGCTTCTTCAAATTAGTGGTTATTTTTTCAGGTTATTCAGAGGTGATACTCATTAAAAGAAATCCCAAAAGTATAGCACATGCAGATTTTGACAGAAGTGCATGCTGGTTAGTGTTGTTTTACATAATAAGACAAAACTGAAGTGAAATATAAACAGATGAATAAAGTAAACCTCAATGAAAAGCCTCAGGGAAAAATAAGTGTTGCTTTTTGTTGTTTTTAACTGTCCTTTACTGAAAAAGAGCACAATTGGATTCTAAAAGCAACCTGCAAGAAAAGCTGTCTTCAACTGCTGCCTGAGTGCTGTTCAGAGACTGTACTCAGGGGCTGGCCTGCTGGTGCAGAGGTTAAGTTCACACGTTCTGCTTCTCGGCACCCCGGGGTTCGCCGGTTCGGATCCCGGGTCTGGACAAGGCAGCGCTTGGCAAAAGCCATGCTGTGGTAGGTGTCCCATGTATAAAGTAGAGGAAAATGGGCATGGATGTTAGCTCAGAGCCAGTCTTCCTCAGCAAAAAGAGGAGGATTGGCAGTAGTTAGCTCAGGCCTAATCTTCCTCAAAAAAAAGGAAATGAAATCGGAGACTGTACTCAACACTGAGATGGGTATTCCTGGTATTTGCACTGAGGCAGTTCAATGGAAGCCTGACGTATCTTTCCAGGTCAGGAAAGAGGTGGTGAGAAGTCAGACACAGCTGTTACCAATGACCTATATGAGGTCCATGTAGAAGGCCAGTTATCTCCCTCACATCCATAGAACACAGGGCTCCACTCCCCATAAATCTGTTCAGCCTCTGAAATGCGCTGGAGTTTCACCTTGCCTGGCCTCTCCAACTGAGGTCATCCTTAGTGATTCACCTGGGGCTCCTCCCTCAGCACTGGGGTACACGGAGACTTTCTTCTGTTGTTTGTAACTTCTTCCCTTCATCCAGCTGGACTGCCTTCAGGTCACACCGGCCTAGAGTGCTATTGCAAGAAACCGAGCTCACTCCCTGAAAAGGAGAGAGCAGCTGTTTTTCTTGCCTCCTGCACAGGCAGAGCAATGGCAGGCTGCACATCCAGAGCTCAGTTTCTAAGGTGCAAACCGGTGAAGAGATGGCCTTGAACGGTGCCTCTTGTACTGTATTTAAACCTCTGTGGATAGTGCTGAGGTCTCTGAGTTAGTCAAATTTGATCCTATAGTCAAAGTTGTGGAGAGGACGAAGTCTGTCTTCCATTAGAAAAAAAAGAGAGAGATCCTTCAGCACCTACTCCAGTTCAGGTGCTAAACTAGGCATTTTCACATTTCTCAGCATATTTAAGTCTAAGTCTGACGACATTCCAGGGAGGTGAGCTATTTCCACTTTAACAAATGAAGGAACTGAGCTAAAAGGGAGGAAGTAATATATCCAAAGTTAACCAGTTAATAAAAGGAAAAGCCACAATGTAACTTTGGGTCTTATTAATTCTAAAATCCCTTTTAATGTACCCTCCCTATTTCTGTTTGCTTCTTGTGTCCCCTCTTTTCTGAGCTCTTCCTATTCAAATTGACTTTCAGCCAGCTACCATGCTAGAAGGAAATTAATAATATAATTCACAGTGTATTACCTTGTTAAATTTTGCTTGCAGTTGCATAGGAAGCAACCATGGAATGAAATTCCAGACATCAGTCACAATTTGAAATAGGAGATATTTCACAATTATAGTCTCAGAAGAGGAGGCTGAGGTTTCTAGTGGGATACCTAATAGTCGCAATTCTAGAAGACCCTGAAGTCAGGGGCCACATGTCTCTGCCCATCTCTGTTGTAGTGACATGGATAGAACATGCTTGAAAAATATCTTCTGATGAGAATGATGAAACACTGTATTGAGGTTTCAAGGTAAAAATACATCTGAAGGAGGAGATGGTAGCAGAATGAGAATTCCTTTGTATGAGCATAAATAGAATTTTCATCTTTTTTCCAGTCTCTCAAAAATGTCACTATAAACATAAAAATCTCATCTATCCCTTTCAACCCTTAATTCATTAACATGAACACTTAACATAATTGAGTAGTGGAAATGAAAGATTTTTCTTGTCTCTACATAAAGAAAATATCTTGTGCAATCTTCTTTGAGTGTATGTCCTGGTAATGCTGAAAGAAATTGAATTAGAAGTAAAAGAAAAATTGTTTTTTTCCTGAATTTGCATAGAAAAATTGTTGGCTCAGACATTACATGGAATATGCAACTGAAAAGTCTACAGAGCAGATATTCAGGACCCAGTAAAAACAAATGCATGAGATTTGAGCCAGCTGAGAGCACTTGGTTATCATCCTCAGCAACCAAAACAAACATTCTTTGAACATCTAGTTTGTATAAAAATCTGAGCTAGACATGGAAAAATAAAAGGTAGAGGGTCCTAAAATCTATTTCGGGAGACAGACTATGCCTATCCACCCAGCAACACATTAAAAGAGAACAAAACAAAGTGGATGGCATTTGGCTGAATGTCTTCCATAAGCGACCTCATTTTATTGTGTGTCTCCATGATGTTACATAATTATTCATGCTTATGAAAAGTAATCTGTTGTATTCGTTCACCTCTTAACTTTATTTCCTAGTGTGGAAAATAAAACCAGGATTTTATCACAGTGATTAATAAATAACTCAGTTTTTTTTATGATTTTATTTTTCCTTTTTCTCCCAAAGTCCCCCAGTACATAGTTGTGTATTTTTAGTTGTGTGTCCTTCTAGTTGTGGCATGTGGGATGCTGCCTCAGCGTGGCCTGATGAGCGGTGCCATGTCCGTGCCGAGGATTCGAACTGATGAAACCCTGGGCTGCTAAAGCAGAGCGTGTGAAGTTAATCACTCGGCCATGGGGCCGGCCCCTAACTCACATTTTTTAATAAATATTTTTATTTTAAGATAATTTTACGTTAATGTAAGAGTTGAAAAATAGTACAGAGAGTTCCCGTGTATACTTCGTTTAGCTTCCCTTAATGTTAACACCTTACAGAACCAAAAAGATGAGTACTTCTCTCTAAACTAAGAAATTACCATTGGTATAGTACTATTAAACTACAGACTTTGTTCAGATTACACCAGTTTTTCTGTTAATATCCTTTCTTCATATTCCAGGATCTAATTCAGGAGGCTGTACTGCATTTGGTTTGTCATGCATCCTTAGTCTGCTCCAATCTTTGACAGTTCCTGTCTTTTGTTGTCTTTCACTACCCTGAGGCTTTTGAAGAGTACTGGTTAATTACTTTGCAGAATGTCCCTCAATTTGGGTTTGTTTAATGTTTTCTCAAGCTTAGACTGAGATTATACATTTTTAG